GAGGTTGGAACCCAGGCCCTCTCACATGCTAGGCAAATGTTCTACCACTGAGCTACAACCGAGCCCATGCTGCCTTCTTCTTCTTTTTTTTTTTTAATATTTATTTGTGTTTTTAGTTGTAGTTGGACACAGTACCTTTATTTTATTTTTATATGTGGTGCTGAGGATCGAACCCAAGGACTTGCATGTGCCAGGCGAGCGCTCTACCGCTCTACCCCACCCCTAAGCAGCTTTTTTAAAGGCACTTTGTGCTACTTTCATGTTCAATGAACATTTAAAAAAGTTATTTATTCATAGAATTAATAGGGCTGGGGTCCTGGGCTGGAGACAGTGGTCTTGCTCTTAGAGTAAACAGAGGCCTCAAGGAGATCACAGAGAAGGGAGGTGAGGGGCTTTAGATCCCTAGATTTTATTATGAGTCTGCTCTTTTTTAGTCACCGGCCATGGTCAAAGAGCTGTACTATCTTTTTAACCCTCAGAGGAAGCTTTCACTGGTGCCAGGGAAACTGCTGAGGTCTGGACCACTGTGGGGGTCATTATGGGAGATGGAGCTTGGGGAGACTGACTGACCTGTGGTGAGCAGAGAAAGTATAGAAGGGCTCTGAGGGAGGACTTGGAGTGAAGTGGCTGGAGGGGGACAGGCCCTGGCAGGAGGCTGAGGTGTACTTTGGGTAGAGGAAGGTGAGTGGAAACCCTCAAGAGCTGTTAGGTCTAAAAGATCCAGGAGAAGACTCTATCCTCATCTTGTCTTTGCATCCTCAAAGGCTGTTGCAGCCTCCTTCTTCTCCCTCTTCCAGAGGAGTTTCATTTTTTTTTTTTAGTCCTAATGCCTTTTCTTTCAACCATTAATAAAAGACCCTTTCCAAGTGCCCACTCTATGCCAGGTGCTATATTAGGCCCTGCATTCGAGGTCCAAGCTGATGCACCCTTTTCAGGCCTTTTTCTCTGACACAATTGACTGTGTCAATTGATATGCTGACCTGCCTTTCATTATTTTATTAATCCTCACAACCATCTTGTGAAGTAGGGGTTCTCTTAATCCCAGTTTACAATGAGGAACAGATGAATGGGGGAGGTGAAGTATTTTGCCCAAAGTAATTCCAGATTTCAGCTTAAGAGCCTTACTCTACATCTTGTGCATGCAGATTTCAGTTGCCATTAGAAAGAGCTGCCTGAGTACAATGCCATTTCTAGGAAACAGTGAGAGGCATGCACAAAGAAAGGGGTGTCCATTCAAGTATTTTTTATTACAGCCCCGGATTGGAAACAACATCATGTCTAATAATAGGAGATTGGTCTCCATAAATTATGAAACATTCTATAGCTGCTCTGCAGCCACTAAAAATAATGGTGTAGAAATATATAAACTGACAGGGAAAGATGTTCACAATATATTGCTAAACGGAAGAAAGCAGATTACAAACAGTATGATTCCAATTTTATTAGGTATTCATTTTCTGCTTTTTCTACAGTGAACATGCATTACTGGTGAAGTAATAATAATTTTGACTTATTGAACTCTTTCTTTGTGCCCGGTACCTTGCTAAGCCCTCCATAGTCATATCTTATTGAATTCTTTGTATTATTGTCCCCATTTCACAGATATGGAAATTAAAACTTAGAGAATTTGCTTAAGGTCTGTTGCATAGTTATCAGATGGCAGAGCCAGAGATTGGAACCCAGGTATAGTTTTGTGTGGTATGTACTCTTAGATGCTACACTACTCTCTTATGCTGTTATTTTGAAAATTAAATGTAAAATAAAGTAATTTGGTTTAAATATAGGAGCAGCAAGACTCTGGAAAATTTTCTGGGGAGTAGAGAAAATTAAGGATCCTTTTATTCTTCTTTTTTGATCCTTTTATTCTTTACATTTAAAAATAACATAGACATAGATTCTTTGTATTTTGCTTCTGGCTTGCAAATAAAAAGCATATATTGTACCACAGACCCTTATGCCTTGTCAGGCCTCTCCTTTGTCGTCCCCACTTGCCCCTGGGACATCCACAATCTAATTCATGCCTTAGTTTTATGACTGGAACTGTTGTACAGTATACTTAGTTATAATTCTTGTATTCTTGGTGTCAGTGTTATTTGTTGAGAAATTCTAGATGACAGGGATCCTGGGAGACTAAATTGTTATGTGGAGTGCTCAAGAAGTGCCAGGGAAGAGATAGGTGTGGTGGTGCACGCCTGTAATCCCAGCAAATTGGGAGGCTGAGGTAGGAAAATCCAAGTTTGAGACCAGCCTTTCCAATTTAGTGAGACCCTTTCTTAAAAATAAAAAAAAATAAAAAGGTCTAGGGATGTGGAGCACCCCTGGGTTCAATAATGAGTATCACCATCAAAAAAAAAAAAAAAAAAAAAAAGAAAGAAAGAAAAAGAAAAGAAAAAAAAGAAGAAAAGTTCTAGGATAGAAAAGAAAGTTCCCCATTGCCAAGGGGCTTCTGGGTATCCTTGACCTCTTTGGACTTGAACTGCTTTGATTAGACCACCTCCCCTATTGTTGTTTTGAAATAACATTTTAACTCTCATTGCAAAAGTGATACATATTGACTTTAAATCTTTTTTTTTTTTTTTTGGCAGTGCTGGTATCAAACCCAGAACTCCACCACTGAGCTACATTCATAGCCCCAATATTTATTTTAGAAAATGGGCTTAAAATAAAGTCATGAAAAATAATTTTTTTCTGATCTCAGAAATACTTGCTATTTATATTTTCAATGCATAACTTGTGTGTGTATGTTTTTTTTTAGAGAGAGAGAGAGAGAGAGAATTTTTTAATATTTATTTTTTAGTTTTCAGCGGACACAACATCTTTGTTTGTATGTGGTGCTGAGGATCGAACCTGGGCCACATGCATGCCAGGCGAGTGCGCTACCACTTGAGCCACATCCCCAGCCCCATGAGTGTGTTTTAAAGGGATATTCTGTAGTGATTCTACTTTGCAATTTGCTTTTTCACATAATGTATTACTATTTAAAAATAATAACACAAATATAATTCACATGACACAAAATTTACCCTTTTAACATATGCAGTTTAGACTGTGGATATAACTCAATGGTAGAAGACTTGCCTAGCATGCGTAAAGCCATGGGTTCAATTCCCAGTAACACATACACACACACACACACACACACACACACACACAAAAGGCATGCTGGTACACACCTGTAATCCTAGTGACTCAGGAGGCTGTGGGAAAAGAATCACAAGTTTGAAGCCAGCCTCAGCAATTTAGTGAGGCCCCAAGCAACTTAGTGAGACCCTGTTTCAAAATACAAATTAAAAAAGGGATGGGGATGTGACTCAGTGGTTAAGCACTTCTGGGTTCAATCCTAGTTCAAAAAAAAAAAAAAAAAAAAAGTGCAGTCCATTGGCTTTTAGTATATTCTCAGAATTGTGAGACCATCACCACTATCTAATTCCAGAACACTTTCATCACAGAAAAAGAAATCTCATACCCATTAGTAGTCATTCCCCATTCCCTCGTCTAGCTACTTTCTGTCTCTATGAATTTGCCTATTCTGGATTTCCCCCCTCCCTCAGTACTGGGGATTGATCTATCACTGAGCTATACCCCTAACCCTTCTTATTCTCTCTTGCTAAATTGCAGAGGCTGAATTTGTGATTCTTCTCCCAGCCTCTGTCATTGGGATTATAGCCATGTGCCACTGTGCCCAGCTCAGCTTGAAAATTTTATATAAATGGAACCATATGATATGTGGCCTTTTGTGTCTGACTGCTCTTATTTAACATAATGTTTTCAAGATTCATTCATGTTGGAGCATGGGTAGTATTTGATTCCTTTTTATGAATGAATAGTATTCCATTGAATGGATATATCACATTTTGTTTTATCCATTCACAGTTGATGGAATTGTTTCTACTTTGTGTCTGTTATCAAGTGCTACAATGAAAATTCATGTACAAGTTTTTTTTTTATTTTTAGTTATACATGACAGTAGAGTGTATTTTGGCAGAATATACATACATAAAGTATAACTTATTCTATTAGGTTCCCAGTCTTGTAGTCATACATGATGTGGAGTTACCCTGGTTGTGTATACAAATACAAAGCTAGGAAAGTTATGACTAATATGTACAAGTTTTTTGTGTGGACATGTTGTTTTCAGTTCTGTTAGGTCCATATCTAGGAGTGGAATTGCTGGGTCATATAGTAACTCTGTTTAATTTTTTTGAGGAACTGCCAAACTATTTTCCAAAGTGGCTCTATTTTACATTCCCACCAACAGTTTATGAAAGTTTTTATTTCTCCACATCCTCATTACTTGCTATTATCTGACTTTTTACAGCCATGCTAATGGGCACAAAGTGATACCTCATTGTGGGTTAGACTTTAATTTCTCTAATCTTTTCATGTACTTATTGGCTATTTGTATATCTTCTTTGGAGAAATGTCTATTCAAATCATTTGCTCATTTTAAAGTTGGGTTATTCATTGTTTTGTTGTTAAATTGTAAGAGATTTTTTTAAATATATCCTGGGCACAAGCCCCATATTGTGCATATGATTTGCAAATATTTTCTCCACATTTTTTCACTCTTTAAATGGTGCCCTTTTAAGTGCAAAATCTTAATTTTGTTGAAATCCCAATTTATCTATTTTGTTTGTTGTTCTAGAAACTATTGCCTAATTCCAGATCACAAGTATTTAATCCAGTGCTTTTTCTATGAGACTTATAATTTTAGATCTTCCATTTTTGTCTATGATCTGCTTAACATATTACTGAATATTTCTGTATTATTCAACATTTTTCTTAGAAGTGGAATTACCAAGTCAGAAGTTGCATATTTTTGAGACTTTTGATAATATGTCTTAAAATTGTTGTGACTCTGGCTTCTCCCTATCAGTTGCCTGCCCTTCCTTCCTGTCTCCCCATTGCTCTTGTTCTGGCTTCACATTCTCTCTCTCTATTCTCTTTTTAAATTTCTTTTTTTGTAGTTGTAGATGGACATCATGCCTTTATTTTATTTGTTTATTTTCATATGGTGCTAAGGGTTGAACTCAGTGCCTCACACATGCTAGGCAAGTGCTCTGCCACCAAGCTACAGCCCTGGCCTCCTTCACCATTTCTTGCTAGTAGCTTCCTCCGTTTCCTAAGGAACACTGTCAAGGCAGTGTGCTAAGAGGAGTGCTGTGGTGTTGGTGGGTGCTGGGACTGTTCAGAAAAGGAGTAACCTAACCTACCCTGATAACGGGAGAGGGCATTGAGAAGGACTTCTGGAAATGAAAAGCAAGCTGACTTTGTAAGTGGACAGGGCATTCACAAAGTTGTTGTTGTTTTTTTTAATCTTTATTTTATTTATTTATTTTTATGTGGTGTTGAGGATTGAAACCAATGCCTTGCACGTGCTAGGCGAGCGCTCTGCTGCTGAGCCACAACCCCAGCCCACATTCGCAAAGTATTACATGAAGCATTTGTATCCTGGGCTGGGAATAAAAGGCATGTGCAAGGTCCTGGAGGTAGTGTCAGTATAATATGGTGGTAAGAGAGTGGACGTTGGCTCTGTCACTTCCTGGCTGTGTGTTCTTGAAGGGAAAAGGACTTACCCTCTCTGTTAGTTTTCTCATCTGCAAAATGGAAATAGTAGCTAACACCTAGGGTGTTGCAAGAAACAGCATATGTTGACATTCTGGCTGAGTGGCCAGTCCCTAAGGGGGAGCAAGTGGATGAGGACAATGTTGGGTCTTTTGCTATATAGGAGGCATCTTTGTGTACAGTTTTGGAGCTGAAGCAGTCTAGACCATCTAGGATAGTGAGTACAAGCTGATCTTTACAGATTCCAGTTTTATTACTTATTAATTATGTAACCTTGAGTGTGTAATTTACCATTTCTGTGTCTCAGGTTTTCATTTGCAAAATGAGAATAACAATTCCTTGTTTCTAGGGTTGTCATGATTAAACAGTTAAATGTTGATGATTAAATGAATTGATAAGTACAAATGCCAAATTCGTAGAATAGCACCTGGTGCATAATATTCTCTGTGTTAGCTCTTTTCACTGAGAGAGTTTTGTGATGATTTTGGCACAAAGTGGACTTGTACTTGATTGCTTGTGCAAAGTCATGGAAAGTCTTTGAATAAAGTAGGAGACCAAGCCAGAGACCAAAGTCTTTAGTCCTTACAGATTAGTTGCCAGAGACCAGGAGAGTCGGTAGCAAGAGGGGGAAAGAGTGATATGACCGTGGGGTGAGCAGGAGAGGAGTAGGGGATGGCATGAAAGGGTGGAGGAGTGGTGGTCTGGGTGTGGCAATAAACAACAATAGCCGGAACAGTTATTTTTATTACTCTGGAAAGGGCAATGGGGAACGAGAATGCCAGCTCTTTCTACTGGGATCCATCCTTCGATTTGCACCCACGTGTTCATTCACTCAGCACTTAACTTCTGAGTTATGGGTCAGCCACCATGCTGACCATTGGAAGCATGGCCATAAAGAATTTCCTGCCTCCATAGAACCTACTGTTTAAGGGCAGAGAGAGACAGACATTAAACAACATTAGTTGTGTAAGTCATTAATTCATACAGATTGGGTCATGCCACTTTCCCCATTTCATAATCTTTTATTTGCTCTCCACTGCTGTGGAGTAGACAACCCTGGCTCCTATGCAGGATCAGGCCCTAGTCCTGTTCTTGGCAGCTTTTACAATTACTGCTACTCCCTCCCCTGAGATTCCAGCGCCCCAGGACTACATACTGTGCCATAGGTGACCTGTAATATCTCCACAACTCCCTGGCTCTGCTCATGTCCCCTGTCCACCCAACACATTCCTACTGGGCCTTCAAGGCTACTGCAGCAAATGGGTCTTCCTTTGGGAGACCTTTCCTGGTCACCATCACTCTCCCAGATATGTTTCCAAGGTACATTTTTGGATTTTCTGGGACTATAACACCTCATTTATATAATCAGAAGGGGCAAATGTGGCTCCAGCAGGGAGAAGGTCATGACAAGCCTTTGAGTCGGGAATGGGCATGGAGAGCATATGTCAGGGAGCAGGAGATGTCCCTGGTAGGATGAGCCCCTTGGGGCAATCCCCAGGGCCTGGTTCCACCCCTTTAAGAACATTAGGGAAATCTTTGGATATGGAATAGTCAGAATGTCCAGGATGCCAGTTTCTTGAGGGAGAGAGTCGTTCCTGCCAAGGGTGCCAGGAAAACCTGCACTGGAACAAAGCAAAGTTACACATCTCAGAATGGGAAGGGGCAGGCCCAGCAGAACCTGCTCAAACCTTCTCTGAATGTTGAATGCCCCTCTCTGCTTATGGGGGTTGGCCCTATCCTCCTTTAGCCACCAGTGAATGTGACCTCCCTTAGCTGCCTTCTCTGTTTTTGAGATAAATCTCAAAGCCCTTTGCTGGTATCTTGGGGGAACTTCTATAGGCTGAGGAAGGGGAGACTATTCTGAGGCGGCTACACAGAGAGGTAAGTGAGCCTCTCAAGGCAGACGCTCAGAAATCTAGTAGTGTGGCCTCAGAGATTCAGCAGTTCCAAACAGTAGCTGTTGATTACTACCCAGGAGACCACCTCAGTCTGAGCTTCATGGCCCCACTTTATGTATCTCCACCAGAAAGGCCAGGGCAGGCGAAGAGCTGTCCTGGCAAAAGACAGGGGAACATCAGGCTGAGAAAGGCAGTGAGAATATTTAGATAGTTAGAGCAGGGCCAAGGCCAATGTTGGTGGTGGCTGGGAGGGTTGGCAGGTGTCAGCAGCGGACTGAGACACTGGCAATTTCTGCTCCAGCCTGAATTGCAATGGGCCCAGGATCCCTGTGGGTGCGGACAGTTAATCTCCGAAGGCCAGAGTCACCACTACTAGAGAGCAGGAACATTGAACTTTTCAATCACATTAATTTCCACAGGAAATTGTTGTCTTCCTTTTGTCCAAAGGTTAGTGATTTATATTTACCATCCTCTTAACTAGCCTTGAAATTTACTGTTGCCAGGTCACCACCAGCATCCATAAATTTCAGGATGGCAGCTGAGCATAGCCAAGTGACTTGGTCCTTGCAAAAGTACATACCCACCCTTTCAGGGGGTGACTATCTAGCTACAGACAGTCCTTGCACAGATGTCCTTCTGGGGGGTGGGCATTCACTTTGCAAGGAAACGAGGTGAGTTGTGTTAGACAAAGTTGCAGGAGGCCCTTCAGCAGCCATCAGAGACAGCTGGCTCATGCCTGCCAGCATATCACCCAAGGAAGGTCTAGCTATGGGCAGTGGCACAAGAGCTGTTCTAGGAGTTCAGTAGGAGCCAGATGCCTAGCTCTACGCTCCCTGTGACACAGGCAAGACACTTAATCTCATTCTGCTTTTATGTTAGAATATAGGTGTGTGTTTTCCTGGCCGGACAGGGTGGGAGGTTTGCTAAAACTTGGAGTCATTCTGCATCATGTTCCTGTTTACACTGTCCTATCCATTGCTCCTCTTAAGACCTTTGTTTTCCATCAGCTCTTGGAATTAGAGCAGAGACTGAGTCTGGCAAACATTTTTTTTTTTTGGTACCGGGGATTGAACTCGGGCACTCAACCATATCCCCAGCCCAATTTTGTATTTTATTAGAAGAAGGGTCTCACTTTTTGCTGAGGCTAGCTTTGAACTTGTGATCCTCCTATCTCAGCCTCCTGAGGCACTGGAATTACAGGTGTGCGCCACTGCATCCAGCTTGGCAAACTTTTTTTAAAAAATTTATTTAATTTTTTTAGTTGTAGATGAACACAGTATCATTATTTTATGTGTATATACATATAAAATAATGTATATATTTTGTGGTTTGGGGATTGAATCCATGGCCTTATGTGTGCAAAGCAAGCACTGTACCAACTGAGCTATATCCCCAGCCCCTGGCAAACATTTTCTGTGAAGGCCATTAATATTTTAGACTCTGTGAGCCATATACTCTCTGTTGTAATTACGTTTTAGTATGAAAGTAGCCATAGAGAGTAAAATAAATTGGATGATATGGCTATATTCCTATTAAAGTTTATATGTGGACACACAAATGTAAATTTTTTTAAAAATATTTTTCAGTCACTGATGGACCTTTATTTTATTCATTTATTCATATGTGGTGCTGAGAATTGAAACTAGGGCCTCACATGTGCCAGGCAAACACTCTACCACTGAGCCACCACGCCAGCCCCACACAAATTTAAATTTTATATAATTGTCATATGTCACAAAAATATTATTATTTTGATTTTTTTAACCATTTAAAAATTTAAAAGTCATTTTAGCTTATAGACTGTACAAAGGTGGTGGGCCTGATTGGGCTAATGTTTGCTGATCGCTGGTTGGAAAGGGAAGTTACCTGGAGAAGGTGTTCACTTTCCCCTCCTGGGCTGTCTTTGAATCACTAAAGAAAGGTGCCCTCAAGAGAGCTTTCTAGTGATGCCATGGTTCTTCCTGAGAGATCTGTAGAAAGGCAGTCAGGGCAGGACTGGGGCAGGAGCCTCATGGGAGCCTAGAGCAGAGAGGCTGGTGGGATGCCTGGGCCTGGCACCTGTTGATTTCCTGCCTTCAGCCACAGTGGTGTTAGCTTTGGGTCAGTCAGAACCCCCATCCTACCTCCCGTGTTGACAGTCCACATCTGTGTTTCAGAGAACAACGCCAGACAAGGTGGGAAGGAGGCAGGGCCGCGACTGCCTGTGGTGATTCTCTTGGGCTGGGGTGGCTGCAGGGACAAGAACCTTGCCAAGTACAGCGCCATCTACCATGAAAGGGTGAGTACTGCAGGCATGTGGATACTCAGATGTTGGGATCCTGCCACCTCTGGGTACTCTGTGGGGAACTCCGAGCCTCTGGCTGCCTCACCTCTGGGCTGCAGTGAAAGCTGACCCATTCTGTGACAGGCCTAGGAATAGTGTTAAGAACAGCCTGTGAGGAAGATGATGGGGTCATGGGGACTTTGGCAGGATTATCCCCCGCTTTGCTGCCAGTTTTGTGTCCTAGTCTAGCTCCTTCAGTCCCCTGACCTGCTTCTCTCCTTGAATCCTGTGGTGGGCGGCCTTAATGTTGTCCACACTGGTGGAATCAGCCCAGGCCTTAACTCCTGTTGACTGGTGTGCCGGGCATAGTTCCTGCTCCCAGGACTTTCTCCTTTTTTGCCCATAGTCACATTCCCAGAGTCACAGGGCCTCTTGGAGGAGTCATGATGCTTCTCAGGATGCACTAAGAGTTGACTGTAGAGGTGGTAACTGGAGAGGGCCCTAGGAGAGCCTGGTTATATTTTTGAAGCCCTTTTTTAAAAAAAAAAAAAATTTAGTTGTAGATGGACTCAATACCTTTCTTTTTTATTATTTATTTTATTGATGCTGAGAATCGAACTCAGTGCCCCACACGTCCTAGGCAAGCACTGTACCACTGAGCCACAACCCTGGCCCTGGAAGCCCTTTTATGTCTTTGGTCTCTGACTCTTCTCTGCCCTCCTCAGGGCAGGTCTCCCCAAAGCAACCTTTGGCAGGGGTATTGGTTTAGACAGCTCCAGATGCCAGCTGGAAGGCCCAGGCAAAGGAGTAGGAGTCACCTGGGAGAAAGGCCAGATGGTGCCCCTTTTCTTGGTCTCCTTCCACTGACCAATGTCTATGCCATGCCTGAGCAGCATGGAAGCCCTGGAACAGGAGAAGGATTGGGGAAGAAAAGTAGTTTTGAGTTTGAAGCCTCCTCTCAGCCAATAAGCCTGGCCCACCTTTTGCAGGCTGCCTCACTCCTCAGGTTATCTCAGCTCCTGAGCTCCACTCACTGGCTAGGCTTGGTCTAGCTTCTTCATTAGAATAAGATCTTTGAGGGGGACTGGGGTTGTGGCTCAGTGGTAGAGTACTTGCCTAGCATGCATAAGGCACTGGGTTTGATCCTCAGCACCACATAAGAAACTAAATAAACAAAATAAAGATATTGTGTCCACCTACAACTAAAAATATTAAAAAAAAAAAAAAAAAGATCCTTGAGGGCAGGCAGAAGAATAGGAGTGATTGAGTGTGCTCAGTACAGAGAATGAAAGTGCAAATGTCTAGAGGTGAGGCTTGGTCAGGGGAGGGTTTTCAAGGTGATTTAAACAGGGGCACAATGTTAGATTTGCCATTCAGAAAGCACCTAACTGCAGAGTAGGGGAAAGATTGGAGGCGCTGGGGCTAGAAGCCAGGAGAAACTTCGGAAAGGGTGCAGTGACCCAGAACAGGATGGTCAGGCCCTTAGGGCTAGTGGTGTAGGTAGAAGGAAGGTGATGGGTGGAGGAGCTTGTCACGAGATAGGAAGGTAGCTCATAAGAGATTAGGAGTGGGCACAGGGATGGAGAGGAGGGGGCATGTTCTGGGTAGAGGGAGGTGTGTTTTTGAGACAGGAACACTAGAAGAGAATCCACAGTTTCTGGGGTAGACGAGATCCCTCAGGAGTGTAGAGAGGGAAAGAAGAGGGCTGGGATAGCCCTAAAGAAACCAGACTTAAAGAAGTAGAAGATGAAGAGAATTCTATGAGGAAAGGAGGAATGGAGCCAGGGGGGAAAGAAAGCCCAGGAGGACATGACAGAATCAACAGAGAAACAGACCATTGTAGGTGAGGGAAGGAAGATGTTATGTGGGCAGAAAGTGTGAGGGAGAAAGTGTGAGGCACGATTCCAGGGCAGGCAGAGGGGCTGAAGGAACAAGGCTGGTGGAGTGGCAGCCTTGGCAAGGAGGGGACTGACTTTATTCCCTGGTAGGAGGAGAACAGGATGGGTGCCGAGAAAAACTTCTCCAATCCCAAACTCCAATATTTAATTTCTTTTTAGAGAGACAGACAAAGGTTTACTATGGAAAGCAGAGGAACATTCAAGGGAGAATGCAGGGCCATCTCCAGAGGGAGACAACCTTCATTATTTAAAAGAAAATAAAAAACATCATATTCCACCACCTGGAGATGACCTCGGTTTATACCATAGGGTAGCTCTTTCCAGGTTTTTTCTGGATCTTCTCTTTGCCTGGATGAGATCTATCAAGTGTACCATTTTGAAGCCTGCTTTTTAAAGATCATGATTTCCACCTTCTCATGTTAATTAATTTTCATCACTTCTAGTTTCCAATCCATGTTCAGATGCCCAAATTGTCCTCAAAGTGTTCTTTACAACTGATTTGCCCAAACCAAGATTCAATCCAGGATTACACATTGTATCTAGTTTTTTTTTGTTGTTGTTGTTGTTGTGTTCCTTAGGCCTCTATATCCAGACCAGCCCCTTTTTTCATGATTAAAAATGTTCCTTTTTTTTTTTTTTTTTTAAACCAACTGAAGGGACTGGGTTGCAAGGAAATATTTCTAGGAGTGTGTAATCCTCAGGTGCTGCCAGGAGAAAAGTGTGATGAGGATGGGCAGGCCTCTATTAGATTTGACCAAGCCCTAGAGTGTTGGGAGCCTCCAGACCTAGCAGGTCAGGGTGATAGGAGGCAACCTGACTGACCATCCATTTGGCTGTGGGTCATTTAAGAACTGTGTCCACATAATTTTCTCCTGGTTATTGTAATCATCACTGATGATTGTTACAGCTGTTGGTTGAGAGTTTACTGTGTGCCATGTATTGTTTTGGTCACTTAACATACTTTTTTTTTCTCATTTAATTTCCACCATAACCTTAGGAGATGGGTGTTATCCCAATAATAGATGGGGACACAGACACAGAAAGAAGTAAATTGTTCTTTATTCATACTGTTGTTAAGTGCTAGGACCAGGAATTAAATTCAGACCTGTCTGACCCCAGAGCCTGCCCAACTCAGATCCCCATGACAAGGGTGTTTTGTCTCTAGAATAGGTTTAGGAGAGGGATTAGGCCCCAGGCAGGGCCTTTTTCAACAGGCCTAGAAGGGGACCTGTCTGGAGGTTTTGAGGTACACTTGGCTTAGGCAGTGAGGTGTCCAGAAGCCTAAAGGGAGTTTGGGCCCAGATTTTAGAATTTGAGGAATAGTATTTACTGTACTTGGAATTTCAGGGGGAGTCTGAGGAGTGATCCTAGGCTTGGGAACCAGACAGATTTGGGGGTCAGGCTCCTGAAACCAGACAGTATGGATTTTGTTTTCCGGTCCTTGGTGTGGGAAGAGGGAGATGACAGTGACTAGAGATGGATGCCATGAGGGTCTGGCTCAGAAGTGGCCTCTGGTAGTCGAGGCTGGCGGCTTGTAGGCTGTCTTAGGTGTTGTGTCTGGGAGGTAGGGAGAATGGAGAGAAGTCGCTGCAGCAAAATATAGGCAAGCAGTGAGACTTTAAATGTACAAGGTCTGGGGTAGGCTTGCGGTATGAGAAAAGATGTTCTGATCACTTTCAAAACGTGCTCATCTCCAGGCCTCATATACCATCCCAGAGGCGTAGTCACCATGAAGCCATGAATCCAAAAATGGACCTTGAGTATACTTTCCACTCCTGCAAAGTACCTGTGTCTGTGAGTAGTGAGCTGGTGCTTAGGCTGAAGCAGGGCCTAGAGCTTTGCTGGATTCCATGGCTCTATGGAAGTTGGGGTTACTGGGCCTTTTGGATGTATCTTGTGCTCACCACCCCCACTGCATCCCTGGGGATTGATCAGGCTTCTCTTCTCTCCCCAGGGCTGCATCGTGATCCGATACACAGCCCCCTGGCACATGGTTTTCTTCTCAGAGTCCCTGGGCATCCCTTCACTTCGTTTGTTGGCCCAGAAGCTGCTTGAGCTACTCTTTGATTATGAGATTGAGAGGGAGCCCCTGCTCTTCCACGTCTTCAGCAATGCTGGCGTCATGCTTTACCGCTACGTGTTGGAGCTCCTGCAAACCCATCGGCGCTTCTGCCACCTGCGTGTGGTGGGCACCATTTTTGACAGTGGTCCTGGTGATAACAACTTGGTAGGGGCCCTGCGGGCCCTGGCAGTCATCCTAGAACATCAGCATGCTTTGATGCGCCTATTGCTCCTGGTGGCTTTCACCCTGGTGGCAGTCTTGTTCCATATCCTGCTTGCTCCACTCACTGGCCTCTTCCACACCCGCTTCTATGATAAGCTACGGAATGCAGAATCCCACTGGCCTGAGCTCTACCTCTACTCGAAGGCAGATGAGATTGTCCTGGCCAGGGATGTGGAACGCATGGTGGAGGCACGCCTGGCCCACCGGGTCCTGGTACGCTCTGTGGACTTTGTGTCATCTGCACATGTCAGCCACCTACGAGACTACCCTACTTACTACACAAGCCTTTGTGTTGACTTCATGCGCAGTTGTGTCCAGTACTCAGGTCCTACTCCAGAAATAAATGCCTGACCTCTCACAACCTATGTCTGTCCTGGGGGACTTCTAGTGGTCCTAGCGGGCAGGAATGCCTGGGTAGGTTTCTGTGGAACCTTGTAGTTGATTATTCAAACAAGTGCACCAGTCAGGCGGCTGATTCCTGTAGCATTTAGCATGTAAAGGGTTAAAAAAGCAGGGGAGGAGGGGGTTGAGGATGAATCTCAGAGTTGATTTTAAAAAAAAAAGTTGTGGGGCTGGGGAATGGCTCAAGTGGTAGTGTGCTCGCCTAGCATGTGTGAGGCACTGGGATCGATTCTCAACACCACATAAAAATAAAATAAATGTATTGTGTCCACCTAAAACTAAAAAATAAATATTTTTTAAAAATTGTGGTAAGAACCCTTAACATGGGATCTACTCTCTTAACATAAGGTTCCAAGTGTATGTAATACACTTATTAATAACACCTATTGTTAACTATAGGTGCAGTGTTATATAGATCTCTAGAACTTAATCACCTTGCACAAAGGAAACTTTATACTTGTTGCCAGAGTTGAGTTGATTTTCTGACTGGAAGGTGAGCTTTATTGGGGAGGTGCCAGAGGGTAGGGTCAGACTATGAAGGGGGCCCCTTTGATCTCTGCTCCAGAAGGGCAAAGTCCCACAACATAAAGCATGAATCCCACTTGCCCATTCATTCAGAGAAGCTTCTCTGACCTCATACCCCAGGAGTCTGAGGTAGATGCCAGATTAGCTGAGGATGCAGGGGTTTGTGCTGCCCAGCTCCTCCACATTTTGCTAGGAAGCCACTGCGTCTGGGAAAGTTGTGAGCTGTCTGTAAGGGGCAGCTGGAGTGGGAAGCAGTGAGACAGCAGTGCTACAGTAGGAGCTGTGGCAAGTTAACTCTGGAGTCCTAAAAACCAGAACCAGGGTAAAGGGAGTTTTGGCTGAAATGATACCATCTCCTTGAAAGGAGACTCATTTGATACTCAAATGAGTCTCCTTTCAAGGAGATGGTATCATTGCAGCCTGCAAGGTGAAGTGCCTTCAGCTTTACAATTCTGTTCCATCTATCATTCTGAGAGTCACTGCTACACAGTGCTGGCACATAGGTATTCAATAAATATTAGTTGATCGAATGAATTTGTTGTGGTAATCAAGAGGCCTGGGGGTCAGGGATGGGCTTTCAAAGTTTAGCAGGCAGTAAAGCAATGGCTGGAAAACTCTGGGTTGGAGCTGATCCCTGATATTCTTAGGGGTGATGGATTCCCTTTCTCTGGGGCCAAGTTCTGCCTGCAGGACATCAGTCCTCTGGGAGTCCCTACTACTGTTGCTGATTCCTAGGCTGTGTGGCTGCATTCTTATCCATGGCCAACAGGTGGCAGTGCCGCCTGTGCCATGAGACAGCTCGAAGATCCAACAGCATGGCTGGCTTCAGCAGAATGCCCTTCCCGAGGGTTAATGTGCCTATTAGAGAGCACATGGCCTCTAGGGTGGGGGTAACCAGCTATCATGGACCTACTGAGTCCCAGGTAGAGGAGAGAGGGAATAGAGATAGAAAAGAAGTTAGCCTGACTGGAACCTGTTCTTGCCATTACCCTTACCTCCAGAAGGCCCACTCTTTCAAGCCTGCTTCTTTTATAGACCCTCAGCCATCAGTGGGGCTGCTCCACTTCCCCAGGGACTATATCATTCCCTGTGACCTTGGGCCCCAAGATCTATGTTCAGGATATTTGGAGCCAACAAGCAGGCATGGGGCAGTGAGGCCTTTGCTGGGCTCCAACCAAGGGTGGCCTGTCATCTGCATTTCCTCTGGGTGCAGGAGGAGGCAAGAGCTGCCAAGACCTGATGATTCTCTGTGGGCATTCTAGAGGTGGGTGTCTAATGGGATTTGGGGAGATGGGAGGTAGGCCTGGCTGTAAGAATGTGTCAAGGAGTTTGGAGTCATGGAAAAACTCTGGGCTCTTGAATTTTAACAGAATTTATCAATCTATTTTTTAAATTACAACGACTATGACTACTTTTTAAAATACCTTCATTTATTTGTTTTTATGTAGTGCTAAGGATCAAACCCAGTGTCTCCCATGTGCCATGCAAGCACTCTACCACAGCCCCTACTCCCAGAATCTATTTTTCTTAAGACATCTTTCTGTTGTGGGCAAGGACTGGTCTGCACTTGCCTGAGAGGCATCCAGGATGCTGGTCTACCTAAGCAGCAGTGGGGAGTTGAGGGAGTGACCAACAAAGTGCTCTGTAGCCAGTGCTAGAGGCCTAGCTCTAGTTCCTTGAGAGTCCATCTTGGATAGCAGGAGTTTCTACTGTTTAATTTGGGGCTCTAGGCAGTTACCTACACCAGGCTTGTGGGCACTAGGATGAATAGTATAAAAGCCCAGAAGCCCTGAGATTGTGATCCTGGGGGCACCTTTCAGGGGACTAGAAAGGAACAGAAACCTGGGGCTTGGGTTTTTAACCCAAGCCTGCAGTTGCTCCTGCCCTAGGTTGGGGGATAGAGCTTACATCCCCTCTGTACCCCCAAGCTCTGACCTCTTCTATGATTAATGAGCTGACGATTCTGCATCAATAAGGAATTAACCTAGAGCCCCTACCCATCAATAGCCAGGAGCCCAGATCTCTAGCCCCACCCCCACTCATGCTGGAATGCTCCAGGGCCCCTAAGCAGACCAACACTGTATGGCTCTACACACACCTACATCTAAGTCCTCTCCCCAATACTGCTGCCTAGAATTAACCCCTGAACTGCCTCAGTCCAACCCCTACTATCAACTCCCTATCCCCCATACATATACACAGGCAACAGCTGTTTATATTGGTTTAATCCATGTCAAATGTAGTTTACAAAGGGAAAGGACAAGTACCTTTGTATAGAATATACAGACACAGCATCACACCATGGGGCCCACAGGAGGGGCAAGGAGACAACTTTTCCCTGGGAACAGCATCTCTACTCCCAGGAATGGTTCTTAGCAGAAGGCTGTGCAGCCAGGGGCGCCTTCAGTCAGCCCCGACCTCAGCTTCTGCTTCAGCTCGGGACCTACTTCCTGCCCCACCCTCAACTCCTTATGAAGAGCCCTATGAGCTAAGACTAAGGAGAGGGTCATGTCCCTCAGGGCATGTACCCCATGTCTGGGAGAAGAAATATACACCACTGAACACTGAGCACATGGGAGAGGGAAGGGACGCCACGGGAGAGGGAGAAGCAGGTACCCTAAGAGGTGGTTGGGCCGAGCCCCCAGCCAGACCTGAAGGAGGCACTGCTTCCAGAGTTCTTAAAAAAAAACAGAAGAAAATCATACAACCAAAGGTGGGGGCATGGAGGGCAAAGGAGTTGTCCCATTTATACACAACATTGTAAACATACATGGTCTATATTACATGTGCTTCAGTCTGGTGTTTGCATGTCTGTCTGTCCATCTGGGAGCTGTATCTCAGGAGCCTTGCCCCTCTACTCCCCACCCCTACCTCCCTGCTCCACCCTGGGAACAGAGGCCTGGATGGGTATGGTTCTCAGGCTTGGTGGGAGCCAGCAGGCAAGGCCTGGGCCTCAGCCTCCACTCTGGCTCCAGAGTCCTGTGTGTGTGTATGCTTGTGTGCGCGCATGTGAATGTATGTACACGGGGAACCTGTGTGCAAGTATGTACAAGGGGAGAGGGTCACTGTCACAGAGGCTGGGGGCAGATGAGGCTGCTCGAGGCAAGGCCTGCTGGGTGGCTAGCTCACAAGTAGATCCTCCGAAGGTCTCCAGGCGCTGTGATGGTGTTGCACTGAGGGCAGAGCTTCTTGGCACCCTGCAGGGGGAAGAGGGCTATGATCAGACACGTGCCACATTTATCCATGTGAGCACTTGGGCCTACAGCCACGTCTCTCTGCACTAGTGTGTGCTGGGATTCTGGTTGTGTCAGCCAGGCTGGGGATGCATGGGCGGCCTCTGAGCAGGCAGGCACGCTCCTGTGTTGGGGGGACGCCAGGATCAAACCGCCTGGCCAGCCCCGCAGCGGGAGCCCCGGTAATGAGAACAAGGCTGGGTCCAGCTGTGGCTGCCGCGGCCCTAACGAGATTACATGCGGCCTTTGATCAGGACACAGAGCCCACGTCCGGGCCTTTTATTGCTGTCTCCGGGCGACATTTTAATGGCTGCTCCTGAGCGAAGAACAGGGCCAGGAGCAGAAGGAGCTTAGTAATGGGAGGGGGAGGGGCTGAGGCCCTGGTCCTGCTTACCCACCACAAGCTTCCTCCTGACCTGGGGTCTCACCAATATGTGTGATGTGGTGGGCCTTCTAGGGGCGTGGGTGGTGGAAAAGAGAATGTAGTGAGCCCATGGAGGGGAGAATTTAATAAACCTGAGGTGGGGGGCAGAGAATACAGTGATTTTTGGGGTGGAGGGTACGGTAGATATGCTGGCCCTGGCTCTGTTCTATGCTCCTGTTCTTCCTTATCCCTCACTGCCCACCTCCCCTAAGCAGGTACAAGCAAAGGCATGAACACCCGGGAAGTGCCCCCCCAAACAGCACCCCACTCCCCAACTTCCACACCACCTCACCAGGGTCCGCAGCCAGCATTCCTCGCAGTGCACATGCCAACACTGGATTGACGTTAGGGGCATTGAATATGAGTCCTAGGGAAAAGGTGGGCAGAGAAGGAATCACTGAGGCAGGAACACCCTTCAAAGAGCCTAGATCATAGTTGCAGTGACCCTTTCCAACACTCCAGAGCACTAAAGCCTGACCAAGGGCACCCCAAATTCCCTCTTACTTACCATGCAGATGAGGCATTTGTATCGGTCCCCCCGAGATAGCTGCCGTTCAAGCTCCCTAACCCGAGCCTTCAGGGCCTCAAATGTGGTCACAGCTGAATCTTCAGTGATTCTATAAAGAAGATGTATAGTTGGGTAGTAGGCTGATATCCCCAATCTGAACCTCCAGCCTGCACCTCCCTTAATCCGGAACCACATGTGTTTCCTAGACATCCCACATGCTCTTTCTCCAATGCCCCATAGCTGCAAACCCCACTTCAAAACTAAACCCACTCTTTGTTCCTCCATCTCCACCTGACGAATTTCCGAACCAGATACCTGAGAACCATTCTCAATCATTCTGAGTCATTTTCAACTTCAAAAATCTCTCACTTCTCTCCTAATACCTCTGGAATCACTCCCTTCCTTCCACCCTTACCATTTCTGGTTGGGCCTCCTGGACTATTCTATCGATAACTCCACTAACCTGAGCAGCAAATAACTTCCCCGCTCTAGTCCTTTATCTCCATACCATCCTTCCAGCACCTAGAACTTACATAGTGAAAGCAAATCTGACCATTTTTACTCCAACATTTCAATGTCTCTCAGACTAAAGCTCTAAAACATTTCTTCTCACTCTGGCCCTATCAGCCTGTACTCCTCATCACCCTGCCTATCCACACAAACTGGGCAGTGTCTCCAAGTGTACCACCCTTTCCCAGTCTCTTGGCCTCTTTGCACTTTGTTTCCTCTGGGTCCTCCCAACCCCCTCGCCCAAACTCACCATTCTGCTTCATCATCATCAGTACCACTACTGGGGAATTTTGGGGCATCCTTTATCCAACTCGACCCCAACAGTCTAACTGCAAAGATCTTTGTGTCCTCCACTAGACTGAGTTCCCTGAGGGCAGGCTGCTCACTTGGCCAGTATTTACTCTGGACATAAGCCCCACTTCTGGCATCTGAGCATGAGTAAACATTTGCAAAATGAAGAGCTAGTCCAACCTCTAGGGAAAGAGAGATGTGGGGCTGGACAGATCCCATATAATCTAGGTCCCTTTGCCATAAGCCTGGCTTCCCTCGAGGGCTCCTTGTTATTTCTTCCTAGGCTCATTTGATACCCTGGTAAGCCTCAGCCTGTTGTCCAAGCCCTGTACCACAAGGTCCCTATGACTTTTCCAAGACCGGTCATACTGCTGAACAGGGAATAGTTAGGACTCTTCAAGGATCTCTCCTGCCCCTCCTAAAACACTAGTGAATAGGGCTACTCACAGAGGGAGAAAAATACCTGCTGGAAGAGTAGAAAAACTGTACTGGGGATGGCCTTAGGGAATAAGTATGATGATAATACAAAGAAAATAGCTAAAATTTATTAATCACTTACTAAATGCCAGGGATTATACTGAGGAACTATAATTATTATCCTATTTACACCTCATAAAAACCTTGTGAGAAGGTTCTAATATTCCCATTTCTATACATGAAGAAACTAAAGCACTGAAAAATTAAATAGCAACCCATTGTTCACAAAGATTTGGGGAGATGGGATTCCAAGGTGGCAGACTGATCCTGTGGTCAACTGTGTGACTGACTATTACTCTATACTGGTTTATAAGGAGATGGATCTCCAGGCTAAGGGAACAGTAGAAATAAAGACCAAGAGGCCCAAGAGTTCAGTTGGGCTGGAAGGCTCACTTGTAGGTAGGCAAAAGTTGCTAAAGTGACAGAGCACACTTGTCTGGCAACTCAATTCCACAGTCAGAAACTGAACTACCTCATGGGTGATGGGAATTGTGAGGATATTAGAAGAAGGGTGTGATAAAACAGCTAAGGTTCCATAGGCATTTCATAAGAATGGGAAAAGTAGGACTGAACAGGGTAGGGAGGCCACAGGTAGAAACACAGTGAGGTGTGGCGTGAGCATGGACAATATCCTGGGGGTGCCTGTTCTGCCAGCTTGGGCGAGACAATGGTCCAGAAAGCTTGAAGTGGCTTATTACTGTTAGATACAAGTAGTCCTGGGGGATGTAAGAAGGGTAGTGGTAACATTTGATGGGCAACAACAAACTTCAATCTCTGACTTTTTTCTTTTAGGGTGCTAGAAGCAACACAGAATATAACTCCCTAGTGGTCTGTGTTCCTGCACTGGGAGTGCTCTAGATCCACCAGCTCATGGATCCATGATTCTTTAGGCCTTGCTTCTCCAGGGATGCTGGGAAAGGCTGTCTCCAGCATACTGATTCCCACTCAGTCTCCTGGCTCTGGAAAGTCTTCACCCCACCCTCACAAGTACCTGCATAGCTGGCTCTTCCCTGGCATTCTGCCTGATGCCATATGTACCATCTCCATCTCGACTGCTGCTAATAAACTCCTGATAAGGATGGGGAGTTATGCTCCCTTCTCCTCCAAGACCCATGCTAGGAATTTCAAAGATGGGAAACAAATGCCTAAGAACTCCAAGGCCACATCATAGGCCAAGATACAGCTCCAAAGCCCACCTGTCCTAGATTTGCTCAGCACACACCTGGCCTCTAATCTTTGCTCTGGTGAAATACCCAGTCCTCCAGCCCCGGACCCAGCTTGGTTGTGAGCTATTCTTGAACCCCTCCAGGACATGAGGAGGTCAGATTCCCAGAGGAAGCCATAGCATCCTGCCTTTCCCCTTCCCTGGAACATGAAACAGATCTAGGGCAGGATTCCATACTTTGTGGATGAGGAAGACAGAAGTCATGGGGACGGAAGGGCTCCAATCTTGGCTAATCCAGACCTCCTGGTGATCTCTGCACAGGAGCAAGCCAATCCCCAACTCATCCCAAGAGCCCTACCTACTGGAGCCTGTGCTCACACAGGTGGGACTTCCCCCAGCCTTGGGTGGGTAGCACCTTCATGGATGGCCACTGGCTCTGGCCCCCCATCTCCCCCTCAAGCGCCATCCCTGATTAATGATCTTGTCTTTCTGATTTATGAGCAGCCCCTCCAGACGAGGGTGGGTGCCCCTTACAGCCCCGCCCGCCCCGCTCAGCTGGAGTAGGAGAGAATTATTAAATAAACATCCATACGTCATTCCTCCCCCCCAAAGCTGGTTGCGCCGAACCTGTACGGCCCGCTCCGGCGCTGACACGGAGCAGCTGCAGTGATTCATGGGCAGCCGGGCCCTGCGCTGCGGCCCATACATCATGCCAGCAGCACTCGCGGCCCCGGCCGAGATAAACTGATCAACCACAACGGGCTGGAATGAATTTATGACAACACAAAATGGAGGGAAACAAATGGGAGGTGACCCTGGGCCACCGACCCAGCCCTGCACCGGCCTGCAATCCACTCTCCTGGCAGGAGGCAAGATGGAACACTGGTCCTAGAATGAAGAGGCTGCCTTTTAACCCCAGGGAACCTACCCTGCAACTGGAGGGAGTGGGGTGGGTGCAGGGAGATAAGCAACGGCCAATGGCTGCAGCTCTAGGCAGCCCATACTGGACAATACCACCTCCTAGGGCCAGAACTGGTCTTGCTTGGGCTTCTGGAAAGGCAGTGAGATGCCCAGCTGATATCAAATCCTTGTGGCTCCCAGGGATAGAGGCCAGAGAGGCTGCCTGGCCCTAGGTAATGTACTAATGGATCTCTTTTTCCCCTGCTAGAAAATCCTGGCCAAAAATTCCTACCAGAAGTGATGAGACCCAATGCTCCTGCCTAAAACCCACTGCGAGCGCCACCCGGGACAAGAAAAATGAAACCAATTTAGCTCCCGATTAAGAAACAGAAACTGGAGATGAATCAAGTGCGCCGGCTGGGCTGGGCGGCCATACATCACATTCCCGGGCGGAGGCCGGCGCAGCGGGCAGGCAAGCAGGCGGACTGCACCTCCCTCCACCAAGGCTCCCAGGGCTATGGCCCAGCGATCAATTCACAGAGTCACGCTTAGCACCAGCTGGGCTCCAATGCCGGCCGTGCGCCCAGGGCAGCAGGACTCAGCTACACTTGGGAAGGCCAGAAGCCCTGGCAGCAGCCTTCCTTCCAGCAACCCCCGCCACCCTGCTCCTGCACAGCCGCACTCACTTTTCGATGTCACTGTTCTTGCACGTCTTCTGCATGGCCTCCTGCTTGCTGCTTTCACCATTGCTGGTGGATGGCATCTCTGCAGGGACACAGGGACAACTCATACTTTGGACAGAATGGATAGCACAGGTGAGGGCTTGGGCTTGAGTCAGTCACCACTATCTAGGAATCCCTCTCACACCCATTACTGCTAACCTGGGTCAGGACTTACCATCACTGGCCCATTTAGAGAACTCAGGTGTGATGCGGGTGCTGGGAGGGCCACCACTAGAGAAGAAGAAAAAAGAACACAGTGAGGCCTGAAGGAACACAGACAACCCTGCAGGTGGGTACTGGGTTGAGCCCTGCCTCGGGCTTTCTATCCCACCACCCCATCATGCTATGCCTGTGCCCACACTTGCTTTAGGACTGCGCCCCGGAGTGCCTCTCTCTCCTTGGCTTCACCAGGTTCCTCGCCTGTGCAAGGGATGACGTCAGCCTCCGTGTATCTGGCATGGTGGTCAAGGACAATGGATCCTAGTTTTGTTGTAAGCCACGAGGGCAAAATGCTCAGGATTCCCAGCAGCCAAAGTTGAGCCTCTGACCCTGGAGGTGGTGTGGGCAAGTACCAGAGGTACTAGCTACTTTTCCTATTCCCAACGGCCTTCTGTGCCAGCCCCACCTTGCCCATAGAGACCCAAGGATACTGTGGCTTCCCATACTCCAGAGTGTCATCCCCATCCACATCCAAGTCAGCATCACTGTCCGGGTTCTCTTTGCCGCTGCACATGACGAAGCCAGAGCCTGTGGGAAGCAGGGTATGAGGAGGACCATGGACCAAAAAGACTAGGCCAAGTGTGCTTTATATGCTGCCTCTAAGTAGGAATCAGGTAGGAGGGCGAGATGAGGCACAAATAGAAACTTGGGCTTGGGATATATCGAATTAGATACTTAAGTGTTCCTGACTGATATTTCAGTCCTTTTACAATGCATCTCTCTTTCTCTCTGTGGTCTCTGTTCATAAATTGGCCCATTCATATGCTATGTCAAGTCCTCAGGCAACACCCTGCCCTAGGCTTGCTATCCATCTGCCTTTCAGTTCCAGGAAGAGCAAAAAGAAAGTAGGGAAATCCAAGTGCAAAAGGTCGGCCCAGCCCCAACCAGGACCTGGGCTTCCTTATGTCCCACTGTCCAGTCTGACAAGTCCATCAAAGAGAACAGGCTGATTAAGGCCAATCAGAGCCATAGAGCGGGACCCCCAGCCAACATCCTGATTTTGGCCGCTAGGTCCTTGCCAGCAAAAACTCCAGGCAGCTGTTCAAATATTTGGTGTCTGAAGCGCCTGACATTAATTATTCATCTCTACCTCACGCAGCCCAGATTCCTGGACAAGTGTAGTTATAAAGGGATTAGGAATGGACAGACAAGGGAGAACAGGCATGCACACCTGCCTCTCAAAGCAGTCTATGAAGGCAACCAGACTTGGCTGGGGCAGGCCAAGGGCCAGGCTGAACCCCAAGCGGCTGACCACTTGAGGTTCATTTGACACAGCCACAGGCAGACTCTTGGCTAATGGGGAAGGGTGAGTTAATGAGACCATACCAAGCCAGCTCACCTGCTGGATGGTGTCCGACTCCCAGAACCACCCTTCTTGAAAGCCCACGGTCAGGGACCATAGAGCTGCCCCCCAGCCATTGCCCTACTTCTCTATGGGTCTCAGACCATAGCTACTAGCCAGCATGGCAACTCTGCCAGGGATGGCGGGGGGGGGGGGGGGGGGGGGCCTCTGTGGTTAGTAGGATCTGTAAATAAATCTTTAAAGAAGCAAGGAAGCATTTAGAACTCTGCCCAAATGTCTTGTCCATTCTTAGGTGCCTACACTCTCATCAGAGAAATAGGTAATAGTCCTGTAATAGGTCCTTAAGCCTCTTGTGTATTCCTTCATCCTGCCTACCTTTTAGTTTTAATCCTTTGTTTTCCTTATCCAAAACCATGTATGACTCAGTCAAGTTCAGACTCTTCAATTAAATCTGTGAAGATCTATATGCATCTATTTCTCTACACTCACTCTTTTTTCATTTCACTCCAGAAGCCCTGTGCACATGGACATGGAGCCTGCTTGCTGTGTTCCAGCCATACATTGAGACCTTTGTTTATGCTATTTACTCCATCTGGAATGTTCTCCTTCTACCAAGCCCTGAAAAGCACTTTCTTCTTGATCCTCCTCCAGTCTGTTCTCAAAGATTCTATTCATCCCAGAGGTAAGCAGCACCAGAGAAAGAAAGAAAGAGGCTGGGCATTCCCTAGGCTCCACCCTCACTGACAGTCCTCATTTGCCCTCGACCTGGAGGCCCTGACACACTTGAACAGCAGGCAGGTCAGCAGCAGGGCCATTAAGCTGAGAAAACACCAAGTTACAGCTCTGTCTCCTGTTCAGGGCCAGGTGTCCTGACAAGCAATTCCCGCCTTGTGGGTGAGTGGCACCTCTATAAACCCTCTGACAGTTTGGGAGACAAACTCCGCCATCAATCAGAATGTAGCTATCAGGTTCACTTATAGCCTGTGCCCCCCGAGTCCTGCCAACCCCCCTCTTCCAAGTACACGCAGCTCAGCAGCCAGCCTCACATCCTCTGCTCAGTCTCTCCCTGCCTTGTGGGTGGGCAAAAAAGCAGAGAACCCTGGCACTACTCCCAAGCCCACTATGGCTCCCTTGGCAAATCAGGAAAGACAGGGTGCCATACCTGTCAGAAGTCCCAGCATATAAAGCAGTCCTGTGGCTTGAAGTCCTTTCCTCTGTAGTATAACTGCCTGCCCTGCTTAGACCAGGACCCATCCTCCATGGGAACAGAGATACTGTGGTCTCCCAAATCCTATATGCTTTATGCTTCATGTCTGGGTACTTCCTATCCCATGTAACTATAACTTTCTTCCTACGGGTCTACAAAACAAATACCTACTCGGCTGGCAAGTCTGACTTAGCTCAACCTTCTATCATTGACTGGTAGTGCCTACAAAGAGTAGTTGCAGAAGGAAGGACTTTCCACCTCTAATATTCTTTCAATCTTTATGGAGCACATCCTGTCTGGCTCAGTGTGGAGAATACACAAGATATGGCTCCCCAACCTCCAGGTACTCAGTGGGGGATGTGACTTGCTCAAGTACTTATACACCTTACACGAATGTGTCCCTTCCTTGCTGTCCACCCAAACTACTGCGTTACTCACCTTTTTTACCATGTATTGTCATTCTCCCTCCTCAGACCAAAAAGTGCAAGGGTCTCAAGTGTGACTCACTGCTGTGATCTCTGCATTGTCCAGCAGGGCTGGCTAGGCCCAGAGCAGGTGCCATATAACATACCAGAGCAGTACTGGCAACACTGCTCTATGAGGCACTGGGGCCCTGTGCCAGAAGTAAGGCTGGGCCTAGAAAAACCTTATGACACAGCCTTCCCTATTCTACTGCAGCTCCCAGCCAGGTGGCAACCTTCTGTTCCTCTGACCAGTGAGACAGGAGGGAAAGTGTGACATCTTATTTGCCAAGGAAAAGGCCTCTCTGCCTTTGGTCTGAGTAGTCTTCTCTGACCCTTACCCCATGCCCCAGCTGAGACAGATGTTGGGAACCTCTCCCTACCCCCACAGGTGTTCAGAACAGGCTGCCACTGCCAATTTCATTCTGGTGTTGCCCTAGCCTGCTCCAACCTCCTTCCCAGCACATTAAACTTTATTTTCTTAATGAAATGTCACTTGCTGACTTCTGGCAGAATCATAATAAAAAGAAACGGCCATAAAGCCGTTTTATGCAGACAGCACCCCCGCCAGTTTACCCCCTCCTGCTTAGAGAGGAAGGCTCCACGGTCGTTTTATGTTCTCAGCTGCTGGAATATCCCAAGCCAGTACTCAGAGGCAAGATGGCACAGATAGCTCCTTTCCAAGTCTCTGGCTCCTCTTCCCTGAAGCTCAGGGAATACTAGGCAAGCTGCCACTTTTTTTTTTTTTTTTTTAGTACCAGGGATTGAACCCAGGAATGCTCAACACCACTGAGCCACATCCCCAGCCCTTTTCATATTTTATTTTGAGACAGGGTCTCGCTAAGTTGCTGAGGCTGGCTTTGAACTTGTGATCCTCCTGCCTCAGCTTCCTGAGCTGCTGGCATGAGGCATGTGCCACTGGCGCAAGTTGCTCCTTCTGGTGCTGCTTTCCAGGGAAGGAACTTGGTCCCTAGGACTTCTAAGATGACTCAGAATATCCCTCAGTCACTAGGAGGGGCCCCTTACTAGGGTTCTACCCCACCTGAAAGCAGCAAAAAAAGGCTAGAAAGCAAACTAAGTCTGATGGTGAGCAATGCCCAGTAGAGTGGGAGCCAGGCTTGCCCGGTCCTGGGCAGCTGGGCAGTACAAAAACCCCTCTTCCCAGTGAACACTCAGCAATACAGAGGGAGAGGGTTAAGTGCAAACTGATATATAAGTCTAAATTTTATAAAAACAACCCTTTTCCCATAAACTCATTTCTTCCTGGGTCATTGAGAAGGGAGAGAAAAAAAAAAAAATCAGTGTTAATTTAATCAATTGATCAAATGATCGATTGAGAAACTGGAGATGCCTGTTTACTGGGGGTAGTTATGTCCTGAAACCTGAAACCACAAAAAAGGAGCCATCGATTTCCTCACCTGCTACTCTCAACCAAACCAGAACCCAGAGAGAAAGAAGTCTGGGGGTCCTCTAGAGCCTAATATTCACCTAAGGGGAGGGCAGGGACAGCGCTTCCGGGGAGTTTTACACTGGAATTAGTTACAGATGCAGTTACGGTGTCTTGTGTAAACGCCATCGATTGGGGAGCTGACAGTCTGGGGAGCTGCGATGCGGGACAATCAATCGGCCTGCAGTGTCACCTGCCACCTCGCTGAACAGTTGACAATGCAATTATCCAGTGTGGAGGCAGGGAGTTGGCGTGTGTCAAACGCACTTAGCCACTTTCCGGGCCTCCTCGATAACGCGTTTCACTGCCTCACGTCAGGAAAGACGCTCAGAGACAGACGCCGTTTAAAACCATTGATACTTGCTCCTTCTGCCTGGATTCCCTCTGTCCCAGCTTAACAATTGTGTTCCAAAAGGCGATTAAATCCCATCCATAGCCACAGGGGACAGAAAGTGCCTTGCTCCTTGCCACCTCTCCTAACCCCTCCCAACAGGTGACAGTCATAACTAAAGGTGGTGGGGAGTTAGAAGCCTCTCTGCATTTCCAGCCAGCCTCCAGTTGTGTGCTGTTCCAACACCTGCCAGTGACTATACCAAGCAGAACAGCTGTAGTTGGAGACATTTTTAGTATTCAAGACCCATTTGCCTGTGCCCTTGGATTCACAACACCTCTCAGCCCTTTGTCCCATATCTGATGCTGAAGTTTTAGTAACAAATGGTTGAAAGAACTGCACCAAAGCTACCTTGCCTGTAGTTCTCTCTCTGATTTCTCATTCCAGGTTGCTTGAAACCAGTCTAAATCTAAGACAGGAACCCAAGAAAAATGTAAGCTATAACCAGAATCTGGCAGGGCAGAAACGATGCATATCAAAATGTTTTATTCCCTCTCCCTACTCCACCTGTTTGATTCAAATGAGCTTCCTGCTCAATGCTTTCACCTAGGGCTCAATGACACAGCTGGAGACACCTTCCATTTCTTGTGTAGCCTCCTGGGAAATTCCTCCATCCCAACACTCTTATTTGAAACCAATCATTCCCATGTCCTTTCTTTTGCCTGTCTCTTCCAGATGTGAGGGACTATAGGTTCCCCAAATCCAAACAGGTGAACTCACTGGCAACTCACTCACTACCACCATAGGTCTCTTCTCTAGGACCTAATAGTAGCTGGAGTTAGGAAACAAGAAGAAAGGTGTACCATGACTAATCTGTCACATACCTCTTTTGACTAAGGGTAAGGGCAGGTTTGTCTGTGGGGCTATATAATTAGCTTATTTTCTACGGTTTGCATCTCTGGCATAGAAGGCCCCTGTTTTGCACAGGTTTTGTAGGGTACCCCAGAAAAGCATCTTTTTCTAACTACTTATCTCTTATAGGAGAAGCATTGGGCTTTGTGTGTGGCTCTCTATAAAAACAGCACCAGCAGGTTTGAAAACCTCAGGCTCTAAGACAGCAAGCAGCAGCTGAGCAGTCTGAGGACCTCCTCTAGAACTGCAAAGGTTAGAGTATTTCCTAGATACCAAAAATTTCTTCTGACTTACTCTCTTGAAGTTTTTACCTATTTTCTTGGGTCTTTTAAACATCTGTTTCCAGCTGGGCCTATCTTGATGCTCTTCTATTCTGTCTGGTCCTTTATTCTCTCCTAAAATACCAATTTCAAGCACTCCCAGGCCTCAAACATCTGGGCCTTCCCCTTAGAAACCCAAGGGGTCCCATCCTGAAGACCATTCCCTCTAGAAAGCATTTCCTCCAAAACTCTTGCTTGACTGCTGCCTCCCACAGATGATTTCACTCAAGGTAACTGATCTGACCCATCAGCCCAATTACTGGTGGGCCTGGTGGGAAGGTTTGCTGAGAATGACGAGGAAGCCCTAGTCTGGGAGGAGGGATAGGGGATGATCGGATACGGAAACTTATCTGCAATTCTTCAATTCTTTCATATCTAACAAGGACAGCAATCTCTGTTCTGTCAGCACGCACAGCACAGCTTAAATGGGCCTCGCTGCTCGCCTGCTCATCCTGCCTCTGCCTCCCTCTCTCTGAAGTCGGCTGGGCAGCTTCTTCAGCTGGCGTTATCACTCCCTCTAACCGGTCTTGGCAGGCAATCTAATTCCTCCTGAAAAGGTCACCGCCATTTTAACTGCCTTTCAATCACATTAAGCACGCGCTGCCCGGCTTGCGGCCCAGCCCGCCCGGCGGGCGATCAATGTGCTGCACTGACACCAGCCCGCCTGGCGGGGCCACACCCAACCCCCCAAGAATTGGGCCTATTGGTTCTGGCCAGGAAGGGCAGGCTGACAGATGGCCAGCTTTTGCAGACAGGGTTCAGGAGCAGAGGCAGTCAGATCAGCCAGGGCCTCCCTTTGATAGCTCCCCCCACTGAGGAGGCCCAGCCTCCTCCGCTCTGCTCTCTCTGCCTCATGGCCCCCGTTGATCTCGCTGTAAAACAGCCTTTCAAGTCGGCCTGTCTTTTGACTGCACTAAGCTGTTTAAGAGGCAGCAGCAGCTTCTATCAGGAAAGCTGGAGCAATTCTCTGCAGATAAAGGCACCTCCGGCCGTTCCCTCTTCAAGTCTCACTCTCATTCTCGCTCTCCAAATCGCTCAAAGAAAAGCCCCCTTTGAACTCTCCTCAGGAATTCTTGAAAGAAACAACCTCACAGTGTAAACACTTAGGGAAAACTGATACCCACCCAGGGCCTGAGAGCCCCTCACACTGCTTGGCAAGTATGTCCCAGCACCGGGGAAAGACTTCACAGAAACAGCAAGCCCTGTGCAGCTTTACCCCCCGCAAACCCTGAGTGCCCAGGAGCCATCAGGTCCAGTTTTGTGCCAAGAAACCTAAGAAGCTGCCACAGCAATGGAAGATATGAATAGTTACAGCTGCCAACAAAGCTAACCCAGAGCATTCTGGAACTGACTCTGTACAGACTGCCACCACACACCTGTCTGCACAATTTCTGGGCTCATGGGCTCTGCTATACATTTTTTTCAGGGCCTGAGACACACCAGAGATCCAGCATAAGACCAGAATGCAATGGCAACTACTGCAAACAGCTCAAGCTCAGGGAAATAGTTTGGTCTAACCCTCCTGATTTATGTTTTGGCTTGTCTCAGACACTTGGATAATGTAAGAGAAGCCCACAGGCATAATGTCCCATCTGGGCTCTCAGCCTCTTCACACAGCCAGTCTATGATGCATGGCACTGGAGGTTTCTTAGCATGAGCCCAGGTAGCATGGCCCCAAGGAGGCAAGACCTTCTTCCCAGATGCTGTGAGATTCCCTATGGACCATATGCAGTAGTACTCCCAAGGATGTTTCCAGAAAATGGGAAGCAGACGGGAAGCAGACTGGCTCCTTTATGATCACAAGCTGCAATGCCAGCTGTGCTTGTGCACAGAAAGAGAGAAGAGCTGGAGGCCAGGAGGCAGGCAGCTCCCTTTTTCCCCTGCCCAAGATGGGAGTTTGACAAGGACAATGACTTTGGCCACCCCACCAATTCTGCTGTCTGAACTGATATTCAGGGGTCCTACAAGTCATGTCCCTCCAAGTAGTTAGGAGGACATGGAGATGGGTAGGGCCCTGCAGACTCCTCTGCAGCAACTGGGGAGAGCCCAAGGGAAACAGGGAGCAGCTGGGCCCAGGCCCCTCTTGCTTCAGGGCAGAGGGCGCCCAGGGAGAAGGGATAGGATCAGAGTTAAAATTAGATTCACCAATGAAGCTCATGGGAGGTCAAATTTTGCCATAACTCACTCTCTCCTCTGTAACCGATTTCCCTGACACAGGGCTGAGGAGGAGGAGGAAAATCCAATGTGTTTGCCTGGAAGCCCTCAGGGCCCCCAGTGCTGGAGGTGTACAGCAGGTTGCTGGATTCTCATTTATCAGCCTTAAGAGGGATGGAGTGATAAATGCATAACCGTCCCTTTAATATTTTATGCAGGTGCTAACGCGGCTTGGCTGTCACCTTCAATGCATCACCCGAGGCTGAGAGCCCCCCTCGTCACTCCTAGCTTGCAGTCTCACAATTCCATTTCCCCACCCAAATACATCCATTTTAATATGCACATCACAGGCAAGCAGCACGGTCACAAAGGAGCCCCGCCAGAAGCAGTTCCCACGTGGTGGAATGGATGACCAGCCACCAGCCCTGGCCTTGCAATTCCCAACAGATGGATACCCAGCAGAGGCCTGTCTACCCGTGTCAATGCCTATGTGTCAGCTGCTTGTACCTCGGAAGCCACCTTCCAGGAGAGTGGTGGCCCGTATCCGCTTCTGCCCACACCACTCATACTCCTCAAAGCGGTTGCTGTTTTCATGCTCGATGTCCACGGCATCATCCTCAGCCATGCAGGAGCCTTCCCTCTGTGAAGAGCAGAGCAGGATCATGCAGGGTCCAAGCCATCCCCACCTGCTCCCCAGGGCTTGCAAGGAAGGCACAGCCCAAGCCCCTGCTTATATACCATATAGGCCCCAGCTCTAGGGCTCCTCTGAAGTAAAACCAATTTAGAGGTCAAAGACCTGGACCTCTTCCCAATAACTTTCCATGGGAGCCCAAGTGGGGAGTGAGAAAGAGTGAAAGCAAAGGGAAAGAGCAAATGAAAGGGAAAAGCTGCTAAGATCACATGAAGACCCCAAGAGCCCACAGATTTGGGGGCAGTCAGCAGCTAGTGTCAAGGGAAGGGAGGGGAGAATGAAGGTGGGTGGTGACGGTCCCTCTACCTTAGAAAGGCAATGCTCCACATGCCTACTCATCTCCTGTTCCGATCCTGCCAGGGGGCGGTTGCACAGGGGACATACCTGCCCTTCATCTTGCTTCCTCCGTTTCATTTTCCCAATCCGAGCTGCATGGAGAAATCAGAAACAGGGCACAGAATAAGCAATCACTATAACTAGAGTCCCAGTGGAGCTAACACATTCTGACCTGCTGTCAGCCATTAGCCCTTTTGTTCAGTGCCTGATCTGGCCCTCATTTTACAATGCTTCCTCCTGCTCCTTTGGGGAAGAGAACTTGCCAAGAGCACCAGGGAGGAGATGGGTGCTAGGCCAGGAAGTGTCCACTCTTTGGCTATAGTTGGCTCAAGCTCAACGGATACCTTTCTATCTGCTATCTTCAATGAGTCCAATGGGCAAAGACACTCCAATTATTGCTAGATATCTCTTCAGAAGGTCAAGACCATAGGCTCTTTGGTGTCAGGAAATA